ATCACTTTTGAAGAATTTAAAAAGGGATATAAACTTATGGGAATAGGACGCCTTTCAAATGATGAAATTAAGGAAGATTTCAACAGAAATATTGGTTAATGTAATTTCAATAATGTTATTCTTTTTAGTTGCAGTTGATAATTCTTGACGAAAGAATGATGAACGTTGATATAAAACTAATGAATGTAACTTAAAACATTGATTTTCGACTTTAATAATAACATTATAATCATATTCACTTTTAAGAAGTTGTGCGAAATCATTGGAGAAACGTTTGAGTAATTTAGTGCCTATTTGCGACATTGAAAAGAGTTTGAAGGTGGTTACAGCAGATTCATTGTGATTTTACTTATTGCGCGAGTAACATCAACCAAAAAAGGAAATCAAATTTTGTAAATAAACTATTCACGAACCCAGAGATTTTATTGGTGGAGAGGGGAGTACTTTGTGTGGTAGGGTATTATTTTCGGGATACTTTACGCAGTGCTCTGCGGTAAGTGCGTAAAGATAGAAGTTTAGGGCTAGGACGTAGAGGCTATAACAATAGATTTTGCGCATTACAAGTAAAATTTTGTTCCCGATATTTTTAATTAGTGCACCAAGGCCGATTTAAATCCGGATTTAATTATTTAATCGGATCTAACACCAATGTTTAAATCCAGATTTAGTAAGCAAATCCGCCTTCAGATTTTAATTCTAGTACGCAAAGTGAACGTTTATTTGATGCAGGAAATGTCACAAATGTGAAGAAAACGTTATTAATTCCAAAGCTATTTTGACGATAATGTATTTCTAAAACATTATATAAAATAAATGAAATACAAGTTCATGTAAATTGAATATTAAATCATTTAATAGCATTTGGAAAATTATTTTATAATGCAAGCACTTTATTCAGCCACCAAATAAATTTAGAGAAAAGTATTTGTTTATATGATTATAAGCTTAAAATTTCCGATTAATTTTTCATGATTTGAAACACTTCAAATTCATCGATTAAAAAGTAATCTGGATTCCTAATCCGTTTTTCATGAAAACCACTTGAATAAGAATAATTCCATTTCCTACAATTTTGACCTTCCGAATAGAAACACTTAAAAATTGGACCGCGCTGGAAATTACATCCAATCACTTGGTGTGTACTGATTATTCTACTAAAGATAGAGTTTGATAAATTTGAGGTTTTCAACGAAAAAATAAAACTATCTTTCGTTGCGGACCATTTAAATGATTTATCAGATGACCAAACTAATGGATTATATCCACCAAGTATTTCATTTGTACTTAACCTTTATAACAGTCACAGTTCCAGGTATATTATCGCATAATCTATGGAATGATTCGCAAGTAAATCCATCTCTACTTCCTCTAAAGAGCAGTTTAAATTTATAAGGTATTCTGGTAACATCATATATTGATAGATTACGATCAATCGACGAAGAAATTTCTGCTGCATGTTCTTCATTAATAATAAATGATTCATTAATGAAAGATGCTTCACGGACAGGAAGCTGAACTGGAATTCTTTTACGAGCTGGTAAAATAGTTGAAGAGATCGATACATTAGGAGCCATAATCCTTGATATAATATCATCCCACAAATTTGATCCAATAATTTGTCGATAAGGTTTAACTTTCATGATAAGATCTTCACCAGACATTTGAAAATATCGAATTAAAGGAATACAATTATTAAGTGAAGTCTTTAAGACTAAAAAATCTTTGTCAGTCCATTGTTTGAGATCAGAAGGCAAATCTGGAATTTGTGCTTTTCCCCATTCAATAACCTTATCCCAAAGTTTGGATTCTTCTATTTGTAAATCATCTCGCTTTAAAAGAGCTACTAATGCTTTTTCATGAATAGCAGTAAAGTCTTCAGAATCAAAAATTAATTTGGGATGTTTTACAAGAATATCAGTGCAAAAAGCTTGTAAGACCTTAAAATTATCCGCTTCAAATATAGTACTATAAATATGATTAAATTTTAATCGAAGCCATGACGCCTTATCATTAATAAGATAAGACTGAATATATTCAACTAATTCTTCAAGACCTAATTTATTAGAAGAAATTAAAAGATCAAAGATGACAGATGGATCAATCTTTTCAAATGGAATTACGCCAGTGTAAATATATCTACAGTAAAAAGATTTTTAATTAATATATTTGACATAATTATTAATTTTATTACAATAGATAAAACATTAATCACCTACTTGATTAAAATTTTAAAGGTTTCAACAGAAATATTGGTTAATGTAATTTCAATAATGTTATTCTTTTTAGTTGCAGTTGATAATTCTTGACGAAAGAATGATGAACGTTGATATAAAACTAATGAATGTAACTTAAAACATTGATTTTCGACTTTAATAATAACATTATAATCATATTCACTTTTAAGAAGTTGTGCGAAATCATTGGAGAAACGTTTGAGTAATTTAGTGCCTATTTGCGACATTGAAAAGAGTTTGAAGGTGGTTACAGCAGATTCATTGTGATTTTACTTATTGCGCGAGTAACATCAACCAAAAAAGGAAATCAAATTTTGTAAATAAACTATTCACGAACCCAGAGATTTTATTGGTGGAGAGGGGAGTACTTTGTGTGGTAGGGTATTATTTTCGGGATACTTTACGCAGTGCTCTGCGGTAAGTGCGTAAAGATAGAAGTTTAGGGCTAGGACGTAGAGGCTATAACAATAGATTTTGCGCATTACAAGTAAAATTTTGTTCCCGATATTTTTAATTAGTGCACCAAGGCCGATTTAAATCCGGATTTAATTATTTAATCGGATCTAACACCAATGTTTAAATCCAGATTTAGTAAGCAAATCCGCCTTCAGATTTTAATTCTAGTACGCAAAGTGAACGTTTATTTGATGCAGGAAATGTCACAAATGTGAAGAAAACGTTATTAATTCCAAAGCTATTTTGACGATAATGTATTTCTAAAACATTATATAAAATAAATGAAATACAAGTTCATGTAAATTGAATATTAAATCATTTAATAGTACAGTTGATAGTACTAAATTTTTTTTATGCCGAAATTAATATATGTTTAATAATTTAAATAAACTCGATGAATCAAAATTTTCCACCGATGTTCGAAAATCTGATGTTTGTGAAACAATGCTCGAAACTCAACGATTATAATTTTGATTTTCAACTAATTTTTTCTTTGCAGCATAAATGCAGAACTGAAATTGAAATGGAGATTAAATAGTATATGAGATTAATTAGTATACTTAAATTTTATTCATTGCTAAAAACTATGATTAGCTTTACCTCATCAAAGAGGATATACCCCCCATGATTCGTATCGATTTTGTTGAATTCTTCCTTAATTTCATCATTTGAAAGGCGTCCTATTCCCATAAGTTTATATCCCTTTTTAAATTCTTCAAAAGTGATACGTTTATCTTTGTTTTTATCAAGTTGCTGGAAAAGATCGTACAGTTCGTTGTAATAATAAAGAAGCTCAATAAGACGGGGGAATTCGTCACGTTCAATAAATCCGTCCTGATTGCATAATAACGTGAGACAGTATATTTCAATTAACGTCATACAACACTGCATACAGTATCAGGTGTGATGTATGACACAATCTTTTACATAGTAAAAATTAAAAATCACATATAATTGATAGTACGATTGTATAAATAATAATTTAATTCATTATTTGTCAAGTATTGTACTGTATGCACCGCTGTACGGTAATAAAAATAAGGATTTAATTGGACAAACCTTTGAAGTGTCGGCAGCTTTGTAGGCTCGCATGAGGACAGGCTTTTTGTCAGAAAATTGTGGGTAGAGATAGATTACTGCATTATCGATTTCGGCAAGAGACAAGATACCATTATTATTAAAATCGAATTGTTTGAATACCTATCAAAATAATTAAGACAGTCAGTGATTCGAAAATTGTTAAATAGACGAACTATTTAGTTATTATAAAGTGACTAATGTAATTATAATTACTTCGTTTACTTTCTCTGCACTCAATTTTTCAGGCATAATGGTTGAATGATTATTTGAAAAAACAGAATGTATTTCTTACATTGGGCTGAAGGATATGACTTTATATACTATAAGATCGACATACGCACATCTAAAAGCAGATACAATGATAAAAAAAAATTAGATGTCAATATTGTACGTAACATCTAACTTTAAGTCTCTCCTGATTAATTAATTGTAACCAATTTAGACTAAATTGGTCATTATGATCATTTATCGTGTCCATTGTGGACTGATATGACAGAAAATCTGTAGGTGTATATCGATAAATTATACTTTTTAAGTAAAAAAAAAAAAACCTAATTTTACAATTTTGGTAGAATCCAGGACAATCTTTTAAACCAATTTAATTAGAGTGTCGTACACTAAGCATTAATAAATTGTAGAATATAGATAAACGAATAAAAGGATCATGGATAGTTCTGGATAGTGATTTAAAATTCGAAAAAGTGCGCGCTTTTACAGTAAAAAAAATGCAACGACAAACTTGCCTACAAAGTAGAGTGAATCTTGCCCATATGTAGCTTCGGATTAACTCCTTCCGATATCTGAAGTAGCATCTAAACAAATTATTACGTACTTAATTAATGCAAGACCTAATTTTAAGTGCTTGATTTTAGCCAGGTGCTACTTTAAATAGGTCAATACACCAGACGTAACATACCAGGAACGTATTGGGTAGCTTGATTGTGCAAGTAATATGTAGCTCTGAAATAGCATCTAAACAAATTATTACGTACTTAATTAATGCAAGACCTAATTTAAGGGCTTGATTTTGGCCAGGTACTACTTTAAATAGGTCACTACACTAGATGTAACATACCAGGAACGTATTGGGTAGCTTGATTTTGTAAGTACAATGTCATGTGGAAATTATCCCGCAAAGATTTACAAGTTTTTAACTTGTAGTTATCTGGTATTACTGCTAAATAAACATAAATGTGAGAATCAAAATATTAAATACAATTATGAGAAAAACAAATAAAGCTTGTTCTATGCATTACTTCTAAACGGGTACGTACCTTTATGTTAAGAAAATGGATCTGCAAAATTTAGGCTCAGAACCAATAAAAATTGCAGAATTTTGTAAATAACTCAAATTCGTATATAGGATATCTGTTTATGTTAAAATAACAAAAAAATGGGGCATTATTAACGAAATTGTGTTTTATATTGGATGCATATCATTTTCTTGACATAAGGGAATCCGGTCGGGGTTAGTCTCAAAACCGGTCTAAACCTGAAAAAAAACTACCTTAAGATTAGGCCAGTCCGAACCGATTAATTCTTATGACTGTGAATTACGTATTAAAAGTAGATCAGGCCAAAATAGACTAGGCTAGATCAGATTGAACTCTAAATTTGGTTCAGTCGCAATTTCAAAACAATTCTTAACTATATACAGTAACATTCTAGTCCAAATAATACTTAACAAACTCTGCGGAAACTGAACACAAAACCTTAATTAATTCATATATGGTAAATTTTTTAAATGGTATTTTATGTAAATGTTTGGTATAAGCAGAATTGGTTATACAGTCTAACCTCCCTATAATTACACCCCTCGGGATAAAGATTTGTGTGATTATAAAGAGAATTTTACTAAGATGTGCTTATAAAGAGAATTTTTATATGATATGCTTATATAGAGGGTGACTATAGGGAGGTTTTGACTGTATTTAATCATTTTATTGTTTAGTTTGACCTAAACCATAACATTAGTAATACAAAACGAGCAATTATGTAACATACTCTATAAATTTAATCTATCGTTAATCAATTATTAGAACCAATCTAGACTAACCCTAAGATCAAGAACTGAATATCCATTTGGCTGATTAAAATATTAACTAACTAATCTTTATTCGATCTTTCAAGGTTTGATTTAGATTTATTTCTATATTAAATCATAATTATAAACAATAATATCAACCATATTCATATTCAATATTCTAAAACTCATGCTGTTTAAATGCTTACATATATCATTAAAGTTTTATAATTTTTGACCGATTTATTTTCTGTATGAATATGCTATATAATAAGAATAATGGCACATTTATAGATTAGATTATGTTTCTTGTCAATAGCCTGTGTTATCTTTGTGCAGAAATCTATGGACAAAGCTTCAAATTTCTTTGTGAAGAACGATTATCAGGAGCCACAACAATTTGGGGAGCTTTGTCAAATGCATGATTGGATGACTTTACAGAATCCTATCAATTTTTCGTTTCAACCTTTATAGTTTTTATGCCATGGTCCTTATAGTACTTCGTTAAGCTCAGGTATTTTCTGACTAATGTTGTGATTACGTATGGTCATTGAAATCGAATTGCTATGATTTTGATGATGTTATTAAGGGTAAAGTATTGTTCGCATTTTTAGTTATCAATAAGCGTCGATGACTCCGCGATCATTACAAAAGGCGATTAGGCACACAATTGCAATGACAGTGTAAGGATCAATTGTTTGACTTTGCGGCTGTGATAGCCTCTCACATTTAGTGAGTAGGCTCCAAGGTAATAGCAATGCAAGGACCTTATGTTTGGTGGTTGGGCTCAACAGTAATCATAGTGCAAGGAACATCATTTGGTGATTAGGAGGAGAGCAAATCAGGTACTTGGTAATAGCAACACAAAGACCCGCTGCTTCGTGAAAAAGTTCCGTAACAATAGTGGTACAAAGAACTTTATTTGATGATCAGCAATGGTTGAGCTCCAATGAGTGTAGGGTCCGGAACGGGCAGGCGGCAGGCCGGTCCGTTCCGGTCTATACAAGAGCAATGCGGAACCTCATTCTTAAATTAGGCTCCACAATAATAGCAGTGAAAGGACCCATTGTTCATAAGTAGACTCAATGACAATATCGATGTAAGGGTCTTTTATTTGGTGATTTGGCACCAGGGCTGTGATAGCACTGCGAGGAGGGCCTGTTGCTTGATGTTTGGGCTCCACATCAACAATGGCAGTGCAACGACTTCTTGTTTGGTGATAAGGCACCACAACGATAGCAGTGCACACTCGCATGCTATGATATTTAATGCTATATAGCAATTCTCGTTTCATTGTAAAATTTCTTGGATGCATTTTCCCATGCGAAAGATACAATGGCTGAGTTAGTATTAAGCTGCTACGACATATTAGGTAGTCATGATATGTAATTTTTATAAAATGTGAATAGTTTATTTAGAAAAAAGCATTTAAAGAAATACCCTGACACTTTACGTGGTGCTCACGACTGATATCATACAGATTCCCTTCTGCATTAATACAGTCATATGACCGAGCGATCATAATGAAAAAAGTATATTGAAGCATTCAAAATAATGACTTACTTTTCATTATATTTGGCCAGAAGTTTTTTTTTTTTAATCAATAGGACCGGCAAAAATAGAATTGGTTTACGGCTGATAAAATAAAATTTTGTTTTATCTCGTTATGAATTCAAACATGAGTTTTTGAACTTGTTGCATGAGATCGTACTGGTTCTGCAGGGCGTCACGCATTGCTCAGCTACCCTAATTTATTTATATTTTTTGATAACGATCTATAGAATAAGTACGGTGCAGGAAATTTAAAACCTCAATATTCATTTTAAGATGCATAAACTAGTGGCTCAGTGAGAATAAATTTCTATCTCAATAGAGTGATGGCATAAAAATAATGCACCAAGAATAATATGTACAAACTTAATAGGAGCTATTGTATGCATATAGCCGAAACTTAAAATAAGCCGCTACTGAATCTAGCTTATTTTCAATGTGCTGGTCGTTTTTTGTTCTATATAAAGTGATTGAGGTTTCTAGATTTCCTGCACCGTACGTACGTACGTACATATTTCATGTGATATCAGATATGTGTAAAAAATAACTTCTATGTTGAGGAAGGGTAAATCGACCTAACCAAAATTAGTTAGTATGGTGCATTAATCACAACTTATGGCACTTATGACACTTATGGAATTTATCGCATTTATTGAATTTATGGCATTTATCGCATTTATTGCATTTCGTGAATATATTTATTGTATACAACTAAAGTATAAAGCATTATCTTTTCGCTTCAATAAAGACAGATGGAAGCTTTGATAACCAACACTCATTGTTCGAAAACCTAAGTTCTTTAGTAGAAGTGTTTGTCTCTACTGATTTCCCCGATAAGTAAATCTGTATTAACGATCGGAAGGGGAAATATAACGACAACTACCCCAGGATCGCCAACAAAATTTCTATAATTTCTATGTAATTTTACCATCACGTGATGATCGACGAAAATAAGCCAATAATGAATCTCGATTTGGTGTAACGTCACGCGATTAAAAAAATCAAAACAAACGTTCGTTTTGTCAAAAATCGCTTGTATCTCAAAATCTGCATAGGAAACCACCTTCTACGCATTTTTTCTTGAGCGATTTTGCTGTTAGAACCCTTACCTCTAACACTAAAATAGTCCCTAACCCTAACATAAACGAACTTAAAGAATTTTGTCAGACATCACGTGATGGTAAAATTTTGTTGGCAATACTGGGGAAGATATATGGGGCGTTATCAATTAAAACAGCCCTTTTTTACTTTTTTAAAAAAATTGAGTTTTTTCGATTTTCTAATAT